TATGACTTGAGTTTGAAGCCATTCATTGTATTTTGTTCCCTCAAAACCCTGATGTACTCCAGTTTGTCAGTTTCCTTGGCTGTGTGGGCCCAAGAATTTGCACTGTTCTTCTGATGAAGAATACAGTATTTTCCTTCTCTCACAAACATAACACTTGAATTTATTTTGTAGTGAATTTGAATGGTGCCTACCCCAAGCTGGTGCCCTTCAGGCCTGCAGGACGGCTGATCTCCCCACCTCTGCTGCTCTCTGTGATTCTCAACATTCTTCTCAGCTTAGCCATGCACATTGTGGGCTTCATTCTGGTTCAGAGGCAGCCTTGGTATTCCATGGAGATGCACAGGTACTATCACAGCTCTGATGCCAGCTTCTCACATCCTAATTTCCATCAAACACGGTCTGGCCCTTATGACAAGAAGCAAAGGGTTCTTCATTCTTCTGGAGGCGTTGGCTTTCTTTCAAGTCCCTTGGGGAATTTTCCAGTGATCTTCTCTCCTCTGTAGCACAGTTTGAGGGAGGATATTATCCATTGGCACTTACTTTTGCCTGTCTTGTGTGATAATGATCCATGACCTTCTTTTACACCTAGGGTGACCATGCGTTATAATTTGCCCAGGCAGCCCCAGTTTGAGCCTGATATCCCAGTGAAATTTTTTAAATTAATTAATCGTTGAAGTATATTTGGCATACAATGTTACATTAATAACAAGTTATCAATTCGACCATTCTATACACCATTCCTTGCTTACCATGATATGTGGTGCCCATCTGTCACCATATATTAATATGCTATTTTTGATTACAGCTCCTATGCTGTAATTTGCATCCTCATAACATTCATTTTATAACTGGAAGTTTGGACCTCTGAATCCCCTTTATCTATTTTTCCCACCCCTTCCACGCATGTCTCCTCTGGCAACTACCGGCTTTGCTGATGCTACTGGTCTTTTCCTTTCACATTCAAATATGCTCCTGTTGGATGATAAATTATATGGTCACCCTATTTATCAATATTCAAAGATCTTAAGCCACAAGAGGAAAAGCTCATGGCTTACTCATCTTTTTCCCACATAACCTTACTACACATGAAGGGTACCCAAATTATTGAATAAATAACTTGTCTATCTATCTATCTATCTACCTATCATCTATCTATCTTTTATCTATTCATCTATCCAAAATATAGATCTATCTGTGTTGGTTTCTTTCCCCTTATTTCTCAGTATATTCTTTCCCAAAGTGTAGGTAATTACAAAAGCACTGAGGGCATGGAATCCTGTAGTTACCAGTGCTCCATAAAGACCTGTCATCTTCGTTCATTACCTTTTTTGTTTCTTTTTTAGTGCCTGCACAGTGCAAAATGAAAGCATCTCAAAGTTAACCATTTCTCCCACCGCTCCAGAAAAAATTGGAAGTAACGGTGCCTTCACAAGCTTCGAAAATACTACCATATGGTTCTTGGGAACAATCAACTGTATCATCGTGGCTCTTATTTTCTCTAAAGGAAAACCATTTAGGCAGCCCATATATAAAAATTGTGAGTAGCGTTGTACCAGATCAGAAGTGATGGGTCATCAGAAGGAACAGACATGCCCAGGTCACTCGGGGAGCAGCAGCGGAGTTGATGCTTATCTGGAGCCCTTGACTTTATACTCCAGGGCTCTATAAACACATTTGGCAGCCTCATTCTTTGCTCCTTTCCTCAAAGCTGCATTAAATTCTAGGGCTTCTTCCTCTACCTCTTTCCTTCACCGGAAGTTTGTCTCCAGGTGTCCTTTCATGGCACCACTGTAAATTGGGACGAGTCATTTATTTCCTCACGTGTCAGTACTTGTCGGAATTCATCTGGGAGGAGGTGGAGAGAGAGAAGTGTCACAACACTCAGTTGGAACATGTCTCCTGCCATGAAGACAATGGTTAAGATGGCATTGTGTGGTTGGCAGCCTGGGAGGGGGTCCAGCCTGAAGGAACCTGGCTATGGTAATTGTGGAGGCTCTTGGCCAAAGTACATGCTACCTCCTTACATTCTGGACTGGAGTGCGGTGTGTGTTAGGAGAAGTGGGTGACCTGGTTACCCTGTGGAACATTCATTTGTATACATCCCTACCTCTCAAATTGGGAACATTTAATTAATTAATTATTTAGTTAATTATTTTTACCTTTACTTATTTATTTCGAGAGAGAGAGAGAGAGGGAGAGCATGAGCACTGGAGGAGCAGAGAGAGAGAGCGAGAGAGAGAATCCCAAGCAGGCTCCATGCTGTCAATGCAGAGCCTGATGTGGGGCTCGAACCCATGAACTATGAAATCGTGATCTGAGGCGAAATCAAGAGTTGGATGCTTTAACAACTGAGCCACCCAGGCACCCCTAATTGGGAAAATTTAGAAGCATAAGTTGAAGGATCAATGTCCTCATAAGAATTAGTTTATTTAGAGAAAATTATTTTGCCTTTCTCCTTCTTGGGATGAGAAAGCAGTCAAATGCTTACCTCTACATTACTGCAATTTAAATATTTGTTTATTTACAGCCCTCTTTTTTTTCCAGAATAGAATTTGAAGCAGGGGATTTGCATTAAAAGGACTTGGATACTTAACTGTCTTCAAGGCATTGTTTGAAAATACATTAGGTCAAAATTGCTCTCTCTATATTTCCCACTTTTATTAATTGAAACTTACAACATGCATGTGAAAATTTCCATCTGCTTCAAGGACATGCATAGAAATTGTGGAGGTGAGACCCATTGCATAGAAATGAGTACTTTCCATTTATTATGCTGTGTTTGGATGTAGGAATCAAGTAAGCTTAATCAGTGTTAATCTAGAATATGTCTGTCAATAGATGTGAAACTCCGTATATACTCCAATTTCTCTAAATGATAGCTTGTGTTCTTATTTCCTCAGATATATTTGTCCTTGTGCTGGTCATACAGCTGGGTGTGTGTCTATTCATTCTATTTGCTGACATTCCAGAATTATACAGGCGTTTGGATGTAAGTCTTATCTCTGGGCTATGATGATGGTTTACTGTTATATAATACCCTGACTGCAAGAAGCAGGTCACGGTGGCAATTGACATGGACTCGTGACACTGATTATCCTTTTGGAATAGTAGAGTTAAAAAAGAATACTACATTTATTTGTATTTTTTTAAATTTAAGCCAGCCAGGAAATAAGATTCTGTCTAGTCTTGATTTCAAATATTTCAGAAGCATTGACCATTTTTCTTTTAAAAGATCCCTGTAAGAATGGAAAAATCTATATACATACACTGTTTCAAGCGTAAGAAATTTTTTTCCCCTAAGCGCTTCTGTTTTGAAGCTGTTGAAAACAGTTTGCCTGTAACACTTTTTCTGTTAATTCTCAAATCTGTACTTACATCTTTAAAAAAAAATCTCTATAATAAAGACGTGTTTGTATGTTCATACTTAATGTCTGCAAAACTTGTTTGCCAAGAGCCATAACTTACCTCATGAACTCTCTTAGAGTGTGTAATTTTGAGGCAAATGTCAAAATCTATGAGACAGTTTTTACATATACAAGCTAGGGGAAATGTGTATGTCAATTCCTTTAACCTATACTTTTGAATTAGAAGTTTATTATTACCAAATGTCCTTTAGACCAATAAATAGAATACAGAAGAGATGGTAAAAGGGAATGGACTTTTTTTACTTAGTGCTACGTGAGCCTGCCTGCCCACCTCTCCAACTCAAACACACGTGTCATGAAGGCCAAGGTCCTATCTTATTCAGTTTCATATTACCAGTGCCTAACATAACCCATGGCACGTAAGGGCAGTAAATGACTGATCCTTGTAGTGGAGATGAGCACTGGAAGCTCACAGTTCATTGCAAACCAGCAAAACCTTCACCAACCCTTCTTGACACGTGACATACAAACTCATGTCTACATTCGGTTTTCCTTGTGATAATTGTATCACTGTGGTTAACAGCGTAATTGCCACTATTGTTAAATATGTTCATGAATTTGAGTAAGCAGTCATGGAGATAGTCTTTGGCTGCTAGACTTCTAAGTGAGTTAAAACTTCTTAATCCTGCAGAAGTTAGGGTTAAGATCTGTTGGGTTTAGTCACACTCTTTAAGAGGAAAGAGTCTTACAGAGAGGCTGATTCCTCTGGTACAACAAAATAGGGAGCCTATTTAGTTTTGGGGGGACCTGTGTGGGGTCATTGCCAACATGACTGCCAAGGAGTCTGCAGAGAATTATTGCTCACCCTAAAAATAATTATTTTTCTTCTTATTACATAAAATTGTGGGTACATTCTAGAAAATGTGAATATGCAGGCAGAGAAAATTATAACAGTATTCACTCTATCCTTCCATCTTTGAAACTTTGTATATGATAAAAGTCCATTGACTGACTTATGCAGTTTACTTTAAATGGAATCATGCTGTTTTGTAACCTAGTTATTGCTCATTTTTAAAAATTGCATTTTTTTAAAAAATAGAGATACATTCACAACGTTTAATATTCAAAAGTTAAAAAGTTCTGTCCTCTCATCCTTTTTCCCCTGCTACCAGGTCTCCTCTCTGGAGGCTACTGATGACAACACTTTATTTTATACACTTTTATTTTTATACACATATTTTATACATATGCCTACACACACACACACACAGACACATATATATATTTCCTTTTTTTAATTTTTTTAAATGTTTATGCATTTTTTGATAGAGACAGAGCGTGAGTGGGTGAGGGGCAGAGAAAGAGGGAAACACAGAATCCGAAGCAGGCTCCAGGCTCTGAACTGACAGACATAGCCTGATGCAAGGCTCGAACTCACGGACCGTGAGATCATGACCTGAGCCGAAGTCAGATGCCCAACCGACTGAGCCATCCAGGCGCCCCATATATATATTTCTTATATGTGTATTCTGCCACATTCTTACACAAATAGCAGACTATTAAATTTGTCCAGGTCTTCTGAGCTGAAGATGGCAAAATGAGATGAGACGTGTGAGCAAGCTATGGAGGAAATGCCTGTAGGGGCAAAAAGGCGAGGAAGCCCAAAGAGAAGGGGAGGGTGGCACCTTATGGTGTAGGTCTGACCCCCATGAAGGAGTGACGGAAGGAGGGCCAGAGGGGTAGGGTTTCAGATTGCAGTGCAGTTCTAAGAAAGCCCAGCCACAGTTGCCCATCACAGGTATCTAGTATCTTATAAGAATGAGTGTGATTAGAAGACCTGCCATCCTCAGGTATTAGCTATGAGCAACTCATGAGGAGTGTGGGCTCAGGGTAGATGTGGTGGGAGATTCCAAGGGTAGCACTGGAGCACCTGCTACTTACTCTCCTGGCAGGAGACCCTCATGGGGCATGCCCATGGCTGCCCCGACCACACACGGTTCCGCACCACGATCTTTCATGTTACAGTGTATTTTGGTAATTGTCGCACGACAGTACATAGAGCTTCCTCATTCCTCTTTTTATGTTAATATATTGTTTCAATATACATATATGTACCATAATTTATACGCAGCCCCCGTTGATAGACATTTAGGTTGCTTCCAATGTTTTGCTATTCCAAACAAAGCTGCAATAAAATAACTTTATACATATACCATTTCAGGCATGTACGAGTCTGTCTCTAGGATAAACTCCCGGAAATGGTTTTCCACTTTTAATTTCAATGGCATTGCCCTCCATAGAGTTGTACCAGTTTATAATCCCCCCAGTGTAGAAGGCAGTATATGAGACAGTGCCGGGTACAGCAGTGTGCACTTGGTTTCATTTCATCCATCCATCCATTCATTTATCTAGCCATACATCCATTCCCATCCAGCTCCACTTGCCCCACTGGTGAGTACCCTTGTCATGGCACCACCTGTACAGCCGTGCACACAGCCCTGAGGGTAAAGCCCTGGCTCGGGGCTGCAAAGCAGGGCTCAGCTGAGGGGAGATGTGGCACCAGAGAGACAAGGGCAACACTGCCCCTGTCACATTCGACTTGTGTACCATCAGAGCCTCCTGGGAATAGAGCCACATTCCTGTATTCCCTCATAAAAGCGAGCAACGCAAGCAAACAAAAACACTTTTATCAAATTTGTCAAATTTTGATCGAATTGATTTGGGGAAATTGAGAAATTACAGGGGCACCAAAAAATAAAAAGGAGAAGAAAGAAAGATAAAAGAACAAAAGCAGCAATCATAGTTTCTGTTATTTTGTGTGTACCTCTAATATGCATACGTGTAATGTCTACATGTAAGCATGTCTATTACACACGTGATTTATAACCTATGAAAATGTACACTGTGAATGTGTGAACAGCTTTCTGACATTTATTTGTCTTCAAACTAACAGTGATTCTCCATCTCCCACCAGCTTCTCTGCACTCCTCTTCTGTGGAGGGTTTACATCATCATTATGCTCAGCTCCAACTTCATTGTGTCCCTTGTGGTGGAGGTAAGTGCCCTCCGGCTTCTGATCACTGTGGGTAGGGATGGACGGGGCATTCTTTGGGAGTCTGAAAAAAGGAACAGCCTTAGAGGATAAGAGTCAGCAGTCCAAGAGGCTCCCTGCCCTGGTGACATGAGCAATGGTGCTTTCCTCTAGTGAGCTCCAAACAAGGTGTTAATTTTCTCGTCTACATGGTGGACCTGGAGAGAATGGGATTATGATGTCTAAGGACCTGTTCGTTTCTAAAATCCACAAGTAGAGAACTGACTCAATTCGTTTTTTTGAAATTACGTATGATTCACATACTACAAAATTCGCCTTCTTAAAAAGTGTGCAGCTCACTGAGTTGTGCAACCATCACCACTAATTCCAGAGCATTCTCATCACCCCAGAAGAAATCCTGTACCCATTAGCAGTCGTTCCTCATTCCCCCTTCCCCCTTCTTCACCCCTTGGCAACCACTAATTTACTTTCGGTCTCCACGCATTTACCTATCAGGACAGTTCACATAAAGGGAATCATAGAATATGTGGCCTTTTATGTCTGGCTTCTTTCACTTAACAACGTCTATTTCTTTTACTTTACACATGGGAAATAAGATTCATAGTGAGCTTTTCCTAGATTTGATTCTTCATCTCCCATTTACTCCATTTCCTCAGTGAAATGAGTTTGTGGTCTCCTTTCTTTGGCTATGTGGTTCACTCTCCTCCTTCAGCACTGTTATTTAGACGAAATCTTCATTCTTCAAAGCCTCCTGGAGAACAGGGGTCACCCCTAGAAAAGACATCTGTGTCAAAGGGGAGGTGAGCATCGGATTCCATCTGTCCCCAATCTGGGTGGCAATGTTTCCAGTGGCAAACACAGCCTTATGCCAGTGAGGGGGGAATCCCTGGAACCTGACTTCTCTGCAGCACCTTCCTTAACAGGCAGGGTAAAAACCACACAGGAGCCAGTGGCAGAAAAGAACATAGAATTAAGGTACTAGAGCCTCTCTCTGTGTGCATATCCAGGGCTTCTCAAACTTGAGTGGGCATCAGAGTCACCTGGAGGGTTTATTAAAACCCAGGTTGCCCAGCCCTTCCCCTAGCATTTCCGATTCAAAGGTCTAGAATAGGCACAAGTGTTTGTCAGGTGATTCTGATACTGCTGGTGGAGGGACCACACTGTGAAGTACCGTGCTAACCCGTATGGTCTCCAAAGCCACCAAATTAATAAGAGAGGATCGCATGAGTGTCCTCATACCCAGCTGCAGAAGGATGAACCTTGCCCTTTAAAGGATAATCTTGTGTTCGTACCTTGTCCCTATCAGTGATCACATTATTTCCTCTGCCTGGTATAGCTTCCCCCAATATCTCCTTATGGGAATGCTATTCCATCCTCTATGGCACAGCAGTAGTAGTATCGTCTTCATGAATCTTTCCCAAAGCCTGGATGGGTGAGTCAAGTAACAGTGGTTTAAACAGTCAAGATATTTATTGTCTCACTTAACCGGAAGATTCGAGGTAAGTGGCCATAGAGTTGGTTCAGCAACTCAGTGGTGTCATTGGGGATCATCAATCTTTCTCTCTTCTGCCTCCCCATCTTTAGATACGGGCCTTTCGGGGCGCCTGGGTGGCGCAGTCGGTTAAGCGTCCGACTTCAGCCAGGTCACGATCTCGCGGTCTGTGGGTTCGAGCCCCGCGTCGGGCTCTGGGCTGATGGCTCAGAGCCTGGAGCCTGTTTCCGATTCTGTGACTCCCTCTCTCTCTGCCCCTCCCCCATTCATGCTCTGTCTCTCTCTGTCCCAAAAATAAATTAAAAACGTTGAAAAAAAAATTTAGATACGGGCCTTTCATGTTTGCGTGTATTGCTTATGGTGTCCAGATAGCTGCCGCATAGCTGGGCATTATCTGTGTTTTGATGCAGGAAAAAAAAATGGAAGGAGAGGCACCAGCAAGCTTTTTTTCCCTTAAGTGTGAACCTTTTATAAGGAAACAAAGTCATTTTCTATAGCCACCCTGCAGACTTCCTCTTATGCCTCATTGGTCAGAACTGTGTCTTATTGTCATCCTGAGGAGAAAAGGATTCTGGGAAAGTGGATCTATGCCAAACATTAGACAGATTTGCTGAGATTGTGTGTGAGTTTTTTCCTCTTAGGTGGGCAGGAAAAAGTTGGGAGGATTGTGCTATAGGTAATGGAGCAACAAAGTCTCCCATAATCCTCTAGCAGGAAGCCATTCGAATGTCACCATGTTTGCAGTTAAAAGAAAGCATAAGCCGGAAGTAGTTTACCTGGGTTGGAATCCTTTCTTGCCGCCTGACTCTGGGCAGCACTTGCAACTCCACTTCTCTATGTCTCCATTTTCTCATCTGAAACGCCGTGATAATAAGGGTACCTAACCTTACAGGGTTACTGTGAGCATGAAAGGTGAACACAGAAAAGCATGTAGTAAATGTTTGATAAATATAAACTATTATCATTATGTTATCTCTTGTGATACTTAGCATTTCTTAGTTTGTATCTATCAGTCATGCAGGCTTTCATTTGTTCATTCACTCCACAAACATTTGTTGACCCTGTGCCATGACCTAGGGTGCAATTCGAGGCAGATCCTGATGATGGAGGGGTGCTGCTCACAGTCTACAGCAAGCAAGAGGACCAGTGCTACAGTTATTTGTGTGTAGATTGTGTAAACGGCGCTGGCAAGAACTCATCTCAGTATCTACAGTGTCTAAAACCCTGCTTTATTCTAATAGAAGCTGGGTAAAGCTTTGTTCAGTTATTAAATGTTAAGAAGTGACGCTGCTCGCCTCCAGCAGATGGAGAGGATAATTTGACACTCATGAAAGATTAAGTTTCTCCTTTGTTTCTCGAGTCCACTGAGAAATGGAGACCGGCATAGATGTTCAGTGGGGGTTCCCAGCAGCTTTCACACTGAGAAATGATGCTGTGGGGTCCTAGCTCTCACCCTCAGGCTCCTGCATGGCAGTCTTCACTTATTCGAAGTTACCTTCTGCTGTCAGTAGGCATTCAGGAACAAACCAAAGCCATTTGAGTCTGTGGTTGAAGGAAGTTGTAATGGAGAATTACAGACACTAAGATTTCATGCCCTATGAGGTGAGCAGAGTAGATAAAGACCCCAGGCTATCACGGATGCAGCAAGATGTTTTCCTCACATAGCTCTAGGTATATCTGACAGGAGATACTAAAGATTGGTGGCCAGCCTGTGACAAAGATGG